AATAATAATTATAATAATTGTAAATAATAATAATAACAATAATAATAATAATAGTAATAATAATAATAATAATAATAATATTAATAATAATATTAATATTAATAATAATAATAAATAATAATGATAATAATATTATAATAATATTAATAATAATAGCAACAGGAATAATAATAATAATAAAATAATAATAATAATAATAATAATAATTATAATAATAATAAGAATAATAATAATAGCATCCGATTGATTCCATATTTATATGCTGTTCTAGACGAGCCCTATGCCTTGTTTCACAATTCCTAATTTCATCCGCAACCAAAGGAATTACTAAGTGCCTGTGGATATGACTGTTACGTATATACCATGGCGCATTTACTATGCCCCGTAGAACTTTATTCTGGAAGGGTTGAATTTTGTTAATGTGAGTCTTCCTGGCACAGCCCCACAGTTGAATGCCATATGACCATATTGGTTTAATGATTTAGTTATAAATTAATATCTTATTATCAATTGCCAAATTGGGCTTTCGACCCAGGAGCCAATAATTTTCCCTTTATTTATTTTCTAATTCTATGTGTTTCTTCCTTATATGCTCTTTCCACCTTAGCTTGACATTTAAAGTCATTCCCAGGTATTTTGCTTAGTTGTCGTTCACCACGTTCGTTCCATTTACGTTAATTTGCGGTGGATTCACTATCTTCCGATTGGTGAAGTTTATGTGAATCGATTTTGATTCATTCAACCTCACCTTCCAATATCTAGTCCACTGGCTTATTTTGTTAATTGCCTCCTGTAATTTTTTTGTCGAATCGTCAATGTTCGCTCCTGTATCGTCAGCAAAAGTGGCTATCGTAGCATTTTCTATTTGTGGCAAATGTAAAGCAGGTACAACGTTGGGCCCAATATACTGCCTTGAGGCACACCTGACTTTATTTCTCTTAGCGTTGAGTATTCAGCATCTTGTATAATTCTAAATAATATATCAGCTAAATAGATTTCAAAATTTTTACAAATGACGATGGTAACACTTGCCCTAACTTAAGTATAAGGCCTTTGTGCCACACCTTGTCGAATGCCTGTGCTACGTCTAGAAACATAGAAGAGCAGATTTCCTTATTTTCCAAGCTTTTTTCTAAAATATTAGTTATTCTATGGACCTGGTCTATTGTAGAATGGTTTCCGGTTTTGGGCACCATAATTGCATACCCAAAATCCATAGCTGCATTCATGATTTTCATCAGATGTTCCAATGGCTCATCTGGTAGCTCTCTCAGTACTTCCGCAGTAATAAGATCAAAACCTGGCGATTTTTTCAACTTCAGGGAGCCTATCTCTTTCGCAATTTTTAGTTGAGTAAGTGGAGCTATGCTGCCTGCTTCATTTGCGATAGATTCTACCAAACTTATGTCTTATCTCGTTTGGTGTGAATATGCTTTCCAAGTGATTAGCTAACAATTCGGCCTTCCCTATATTACTTCTCGCCCAACTGCAATTTGCTCTCATCAGTGGCGGAGCGTGCTTAATCGGTCTCTTTTTACTCTTTGCCGCCTTTCATAGGGAATAATTCGTTTCCTTCTTAGCTGACAAGTTCTTTGTATAATTTTCGTATGTTGCCGATTTAAATTCATGGATTTTTCTTTTAAGCGTCTGGGAAAGTCTGTTTAAAACAGTCCTATCATCAGGGTGACGCGAAGGTTGCCATCTACGTCTGGTCCTTCTCTTTTCACCTACTAAATCAGTTATTTCTCAAGGATAGCTATTTGCTGTCGGTATGTATTTGTTAAACTGGGCCCAAATAACGTTTTAGTTATTTCCTCACTCCGTTTTAATATGACAGCAGAGTGATCCGAATTAAAATCATAGTTATCTTCAGAGCTTAGAAAGTTTTCTGATATTTTTTTGGTTATAAAAATGTCATAACATCAGAAATCTTACTAGTGTCAATAGGCCAATAAGTAAGAGCGCCAGTGGAGGTGATAGCAAAACTCTAGCTCTTGAATAGCTTTTCTTAGCTCTCTTCCATAAGTTGAGGTGATTCTAGAACCCCAATCAGTATGATGGGCATTATAGTCACCTCCTATTAGATATCTATGTCCATGCTTGTACAGGAGATCTTTAAAAGTATTCTTCTTAATGCTGCAATTTGGTGGACAGTATACAGCACCAACACTAAAGTCCTGTTTAGTCGATTTAATTTTTATTGAAATAAGCTGAATTTCAGCCGTTTTTATCTTGAATTCTTCATTATGTTCTATACTTTCTTTTATTAGTATCATGCTACCTCCTTACCGCAATCATAACCCTTTATTTTAAGGCTCGTGTAATATGTCAATTGAGCCTCCGATAGCAAACAAATATCTATATTTCTCGTTTTGAGAAAGATCTCCAATTCTTGTTTCTTATTAAGAACATCATTAGCATTCCAAGTTACTGTACGTACCTCATTTACGTACATTTTTTCTTCACTTCTTTGGTGTCCCCGTATACATCTCAGTGTATGCATTTTCTATTTTTAATCTTTTAGAGATCTCGTCAATTCTAATCAACATACTATGTATCATTTGCATAATGTCTACGTCAGTTCTTTTTATTTGTGGGGTTTTGTTTTCACGTTCCTTCATTTTTTTTTTTTGTGGGGTTTTGCTTTGAAGCGCTTGTGAATAAGATACTCCCTTTAACAACTTACTAGGTGCCGTCATTCTGTCTATTTTTGGAGTTCTTTGTTCATTAAATTTAACTTGGTTTTGTTTGGTTTTATTCTTTTTCAATCTTCTTTTTTGCAATTCTTTTACAACCAAACAGCCTCGATAGCTAGCAGGGTCATTTGGGCTGAAAATTATCCTTCTTGTTGCACTCCGTTGTCATATGATTACCAGCACATTTTACACATCTAGCCTCTATTTGGCAAAATTTTTGTGTGTGTCCAAATCTCTGGCATCTCTTGCATTGAGGAAAAGATTTGCTGCTTCTGAGAGCTTCAATTTTTACTCTCATGTGCTGTAAGTATTCTATTTTATAGATCTTGGTTATTTCTTCCGAATGGTCAAAAGATAACATAAAGAGCGGAAGTTTTACTGAAATATATTTTCATTTTCCTTCTTCCTTTTAATTTTATTTAAAACATCTGGACATTTAAAGCCTTTGCTAGTGAGATCTCTCTTTAACTATATCCTCACACGATGGATGGAGATTTCTAGCCATAACTTTAACTGGCTTCCTCAGTTTATTCTCATACGTGTGCTACTCCAGTCTATCCTTATTTATAGCTTTTGTTAATAATCTGTATTCATTTTGCACATTTATTTTTAATTGGTCATTATTCATCATATTGACCTTAACGTTTATTCTTTCTTCTATTAATATCTTAACTATGTGGGAGTAGTTCTTAATGTTGCTCAATATAACCGGAGGAGGCTTGTTCTTTTTTGGATTTTCAGCCTTCATTTTAGGGCTGGTTTCATTATTTTTTTTAACTGTCCTCTCTGAATTTATTTCAGGAGACTTTTCCATTTTTCGCTTCTTTGCATTATTGTGTTTTAGGATCCAGTCAGTTTCCCTAGCCAGTTCTTCCTCGTTGGTTTCATTTACAATAACTTCCGCATCTTTGTTTTTCTTTTCTGTTGCTGCAGATTATTTGATTTTTTAAATCTACATTCTCTGCCTGTAATTTGCAGATCTCGTTTTGTAGCACCCAACAAAGACTTTCTAACTCGGTTATTCTCGAGTCCTGAGTATCCAATTTACTCTTCTGTATAAGATGCCTTTTATAGTAACCTCTTGGTTTTTCATTTTTTTGTCTTCTGCAAATTTATTCCCCTCCTTGAGTTCCCAATTTTATATCTTTCTTGTTGTCTCCATGTCAATAATTCTGATGCCGATGTTCTATTCAGTCTTCATTCCTCTCTGCATCCACTACGTAATGTAAATCGTTTTTCCTTCTAAGTAACATTTCTATGAATTTTGCTACCGCGTTCCACTTGCCTTCACTCTCGATCATCTTCCCAACGACGTTTTCCGATGTTATCTCACCCAGACAGTCTAATAAAAGCCCCTTTTCTGCAGTCATTATATCACACTTGAAAAATGTGTGATACGCGGTGTATACACCCGTCCCTTATCTTAAATAAATTAGCACAAAAATAACAGTGACCCGACAGAAATTGCGTCATGTACTAAATTGCATCTCTATGCCTCCGTTGGATTCGCCATTGCAGATCGGGTATAAGCCTTGCTGTCCATCTGCCTCGCACATCGCCTCTCCAGCATTCCGCCCATGCCCATATCGTTCGATGTCTTGCCACTACAGCCGCCTGTTCTCTTCCAATTTCACGATTCCTCTGGTATATATTTTTCCTTTCCCTTGCCAACAAATCTATCGAAATCGCTCTCGCAATTACGCAAACCGCCGCCTTCGAAACCGTTCGATAAGAGCACGCGACCCGGAAAGCTCCCGTGCATTGTACCGCTGCTATGCGCTTCCGATATTTTTCTATGCGAAGGGCATTGGCGCATATTTCCGTTCCATATAACAACACAGATTGCGCTGCTGACATGACGAGCCTCTTTTTATGTGGCCTTGGTCCGCATGCTGAGCTAGCTGATAGTCATCGCTGCTTTCTTTGAAAAACCTTGAATTTGTTGCCAAAAGTCTTGCATCCAGCAAAAATCCCAAATATTTAGCTGCCGACTTTGTCTCCACGATATCCAACCCGACCTGCATCGGTACTATAGTCCCCATCCTACGTTTCGTTATCATGATTATCTCTGATTTGACAGTAGCTAACTCCTAGCCGTATTGTCGCATCCATGTGTTTTTTATCCCCATTGTTTATTGTACCCTATTTCTGCCTCCTCAGTTGTGCGTGTCGTGAGAACTGCTGCGATGTCGTCCGCATAGCCAACCAATTGAGTATTGCTCGACATCTACGACTGCAGTAGGCTGTCATACATAATGTTCCACAAGTCCGGCCCAAATATAGAGCCCTGCGTAGCACCTGACGTTATCTGCTTACATTTTGTACAATACCACCATCGATTGAGTATTGCAGACTACGGTCACTAAGGTAATCCTCCAGTATTCGCTGCAAATATGCCGGGACTCGAAATCTTCCATGCAACTGTTGTAAGATGTCCTCCCATCTCGCTGAGTTAAAAGCATTCTTCACGTCTAACGTCACCAATAGTACCAGTTTCCTTGAATGATGATTACCCGATTCGGCGGCCCTGACTGCATCCACCACCACTTTTGTTGCGTTCATCGTGCACTTTCCTTTCCTGAAACCATACTGCATGTCTGCCAGTCCTCCCCTGCTTCTATGGCTGCCTGCAGCCTCTCCTTCAATAATTTTTCTAGCAGTTTCCCGGCCGTATCTAGCCTGAAGGAGGCCGCCAACAGCGAATTCATTTTGCCCCTTCCCTTATCTAACATTTCCAAGTGTGCGTGCTTCCAGCGCTTACAGAATACCCCTTCTTCCAGACAGGTACTGTATGCCCCCAGTAGTATCTGCAGACACGTATTTACAACTTCCTTGATGACCTCTCCTTGTATTCCATCTGGTTCCAGCGCCTTCCTGTTTTTGATTGTACTGGCCGCCTCCTTTAATTCATCCAGGATGAATCTAGGAACATCCTCTTCAGTTACTGTTATTAGGCTCATCGTCTCGATAGGATGTCTAGGGAAAAGAGCGTCCACAATCTCTTCCAACTTGCCACTACCTAGATGTTCCGTATTCGTTGGAGACCCGATCCTTTTTAGTACAATCTTATATCCGAGTCCCCAGGGATCCTCGTCCACATCCTTGAGAAGGTCTCTCCAGCATTTTGCCTTACGTTTGCCAATGGAAATACTAAGCGTCTTCCTTGCAGTTCGGTACACCATGAATGCCTGTGCGGCTTCTGGTCCATTCCTTTTGCGTTGTGCAGCTCGCCTCAGTCGTATGCACTCTTTTCTAAGATCCGAAATCTCTGGCGTCCACCAATACACCGGGCGTCTTTCTCGATTAATTCTTTTCTTTGGCATAGCTTCATCATACGCCGCTTTTATGGCCACCATCGTGTCTTCTGCGATCCTTTCCGCTTTTGCGCGTCCTGTATCTTCAATCTGAGTTTCATTCATTCTATTAAATCTGACTTGTAACGTTTCTGCTAATCTGATCTTATTTAATTTGGTAACGTTCCATTCATGTACTTCTCTTTTGCGACTGCTTCTTGGTACTGCCTCTATGCTGAAAGTAATGTATTGGTGGTCACTACCCGTAAAGTCCTCCATAACTCTCCATTCGTTTATTATGTTATCAACATTTTCAGTTGCCCGCGATATATCGGATATGGTTCCAGTGTAGTCGTGCCGTCGAAATGTTGGTGTGATGCCTCTGTTCAAAACTACCAGTCCCTGCCTCGGTACCATCTCACCAACAGGAAGACAGTGGCTGCGCAAAGTCAACCCCAGATTCCTCCGTGCCAGTCCATCGGCAATCCCGTTGCCCGCATGCAAGTCATGGATACATTTTCTCAAGTAACCAATTGTAGCATTTAAATCTTAATTTCTAAATCAATAAATTATAATTACAAACACTTTTCCTTTTCAATAATAAACAAACAACAGTATACATTTTGATTCTTATTATTTTGTTTTTTTATAAAACATTAAAATACTTACTCATTGTTTTTTTCATAATATTACAAAACAATAAATTAAATTATTTTATGATATATTTAAATAAGAAAGAAGGTAAAGATTATGGTTACTGTTAATAATACATTTTCTTTATTTGTAGAAATTCCCTTAAAGAATCTAAATTTAACATATCTTGCATTCTTGCATTTCTTTTCATTATAAAATATCTGTAAAATAGATATTTTACTGTTTGATTTATGGTATTACAAATATTTATTTTAAGAAATGTTTTATAATTTTTATACCCTGCACTTGGTAAAGGGTATATTATTGATATGGAGTTTGTAACTACTTGAAGGAGTCATCTGCGGTATGGACATACATATATATTTTTGCTCAGCGTCCCTGTGTATTTTTGCTCAGCGTTACTTTTTATACTCTGCACTTCGTGAAGGGTATAAAAATGTTGATGCTATATTATTGTAAAATGTGCTAAATGCAATAAGCGCAAAAATAGATTTAGAAAACCACCAAATAGAAATTATGAAAAAAGTTACTAGGTTTATAAACGCTTGTCTTTAGAAACAAACTCCGGCAATTTATTTAAACATATACAAACAATACATTTAAATATTAAGCAGAACATAAAAAATTAAAAAAGATGATTTACGAATACAAAGACCTTTTTTATCGGGAGGTTGACCATAACTAACTGATATAAATATAATTAAACATCTAATTATACATAAACACTCTTAATCAATTTATTCGAAAATTCGTCGGTTTACAAAGGTCCACGGAGAAGAAATTGAAAAACAAACTTCAGAAATGTTACAAGAATTAATTATTAAACCAAGTAATTCTCCTCATAATTCTCCTATTTGGGTGGTTCCCAAGAAAATTGATCAATCCGGTAATGGACAATAGGAAATGGAGAACTGTTGTCGACTATAGAAAATTGAATGAGATTTCTATAGACGACAAGTTCCCAATACTTAATATTGAATCACTTTTTGATAATTTAGGTAGAGCTTATTATTTTAGTACAATCGATTTAGCCAAGGGATTTTATCAAATACTTGTTGACGAAAAGGATCGTGCAAAAACAGCATTTTCCACCCCCCGCGGTCATTACGAGTTTGTTAGGATGCTATTCAGATTAAAAAAATGCTCCTGCCATTCTTTTCAAAGAATGCTAAATTTTGTGTCAAGAGATTTTGTGACATACTCATATTTAGTACGTCTCTTCAAGAACACTTAGAAACAATTAAAAACATTTTACAAAAATTACGCGAACATAACTTAAAATGCAGGTGGACAAATGTTTATTTTTATCTAAAGAATCAAAATACTTGGGGCATCTATTAACAAATGAGGGTATAAAACCAACCCCTAATAAAACTGAAGTGATAAGAAATTTGAAAATTCCAACATCACGGAAAGCCATAAAAAGTTTTCTTGGAATCACAGGGTATTATCTGAAATTCATACGAGACTATGCAAAAATTGCACAGCCTTTTGCTTCTTGTCTAAAAAAAGATCACAAAATTAATAATAATGATAACAAATTAATTGAGGCATTTAATAAATTAAAAGAATTAATAGTTAAAGTTCCTATACTAAAATATCCCAACTTTAAGCAAAAATTTACATTGACAACTGGTGCGAGCCGTTTTGTCACAAAATGGCCACTCAATATCATTCGCAAGCATAACATTGAACTAGTATGAAGTCAAATATGGTACAATCAAGAAAGAATTGCTAGCCATTGTATGGTCTACCAAGAATTTTAGACCATACCTTTATGGTGTGAAATTCAATATTTAAACAGACCATAAACCTCTCGTATGGCTTAATTCCTTAAATGAACCCAATGCCAAACTCCAAAAGTGGTGATTAAAATTAAACGAATTTGACTCTGAAGTCGAATACGTAAAAGGTAAGAACAATAAAGTTGCGAACTTCCTTAGTCGAATTAATATCGACAATAATCAAATCAATTCAATAGAAATTGAAAATAAAACTAATGGAGCTATAATTCACAGTGGCATCGAAAGTTTGGATGAACATATACCAATTGTAAACAAGTATTTCACTCAAATTCATTTAGTAGAACGTAAAGACCAAGGTTTAATAACAAAATATAAAGAAATATACTTTTCAAAAAATCATCTCAAAAATAAACACTTCTTAATCGATGTTTTTAAGACTTATTAGAAAACTTTAGAGAAATGCGATACTTATATTATTTTCCAAATTTAAAGGATTTAATCTACAAATTTATTAACAATTGCGAAGTTAAATCCTTTAAATTTTGTAACATTGCAAAATATGATAGAAACCCAATAGAACACAAATTTCACAAACTCCATCTGAATTATTTCGTTTAATTCATGTTGATATATTTTATTTAAAGAAACAAATATCTTTAACCACAACAGATAAATTCAGTTAATATTTATCCATATCAAAATTAACCGATCAGAACAGTATTACTTTTTAGTACTGTTCAAGCTTTAAAACAAGGAAACGCTATATTTTAAAGCTTGAGCATTTGTGTAGCCGAAAAATTAAACTTAAAAGTTTTTTTCAGAATGGAAAATATCCAAGTCCATTTTACTTCTCCGCGTAGTTGCACAGGAAACGTAGACATAGAAAGAGCTCATAGCAATATCACTGAACATATTAGAATTCTAAGCCTTACAAATCCAAATTTAGATACCAAAAGTACAATTTTAAAAGCCATTGAATTTTATAGTAACATCATTCATGCGACTACTGAAATCAAACCAATAGATTTTGTTAATGGCAAAATTTCTAATTTTCACGAAATATAGCTAAACTTCAGACAAAAACAATTATTAATAAACTAAATAAAAATGGAAAAGATTTTGAAACACTTAATAGTGATCAAATTTTGATAAAAAACCGAGCTATTGTAAGATATAAACATGTACCTAAACATAAAAAACCTAAAATTAAAAAACATAATAACAAAATAGTAGATAAAAATAATAGAAACATTCATCCAACTCGTATTAAAAGGGAATTTAAAAAGACTTTTTCAGGAATGAAGACGCGTACTTAAATCATTAATTATAATGATGCTCTTATAAATACATGGCCTTGTCAAGCTCTGATTAATATTCAAAAAATCGAAACCGAAGCTGATTTTTCAATCATACAGGAAGGTAAAATAGATATAATAGAAACTTGATAAAATTATTAATATAGTCGACTTGAATAAAATTGAGTACACTTTACATACAATTGATATACAAAAAAACTCAACCTTTAATCTACCAGCTGACACAATAAACCTTAAAGCTCTTAACAGTGTCATCAACAAACATAAACGCACTTTTGAAACATTAATACCATTCAGACATAAGAGATCATTAATAAATATAGGTGGTTCAATATGTTTGTTTTTGGAACTAAAATTTGTTTTTGGAACTATGGATGAAGATAAAATTGAAATAGAACAACATTTAAAAGAACTAGATTAGACGATAACGTTCATAATGATATATCAAATTCCAATAAACAAATTAAATTTAACGATAATATTCAAAAAAATATTGATATCCTACAAAAAAGCATTAATAATAATAACGTATTATTGAATAAACTTTTTAATGACCTTTCTACAGAAAATAGAAAAATAATCAAACAAACACAATTTCCCCAATTAATTTTAAATATCAATCTTCTGAACGAAGAACTAGAGAAAATACAAGAAAACATAATGTTCACAAAACATCAAATAATGAGTCGATCTCTTCTTATGCCAGAAGAAATTGATCTTTATAATATCGACCTTTTCAAAATTCAAAATCTTAAAACTTCTTTGTTAACTTATGATACTAAATTAATATTCCTAATTAGTATTCCAAAAATAAGCCAAGAAAAGGCTATTCAGCATAAAAATTTTCCCTATCACTAATTCAAATTTTGAGGAAATAAATACAGAAATTTCAGATGTTATAAAATATAAAAACAAAACTTACCATCTTACTTTGGAAAATAACCAAAATAAATTAAAACATGTCTCAAATTGCATTTCTCAATTATTTAATAATTTTTATGAAAATTGTACAACAACTTGTGAAAAAAATTTACAAATAATAGAATTAGAATTAGGTGTGATTTTGATTAAAAATGCAAAAACTTAAACTTTTCTAGCACTTGTAATAAATTTAAATACATACTAAATAAAAATTTCATTATCACTTTTGAAAACTGAAAAAAAAAGTAAACAAAATAAAATTTTCAAACTAACAACTAGAATATAAGAATACAATTTTAATTAGATTAAAAATAATGATGAAATTAAAGAAATCAAATATGAAAAAACTATTAATACAATTTTTACTTATTCAAATTATAGTTTTTCTTTTGACATTGTTTTTAATAATTTTATTTACTTTTAAATTTTGTAAAAATCAAGAAATCACACAGATTCTAAAGAAAATATAGAAAGTTATATTGTCCGGGAGTGCAACATTCCTAAGGAGGGAAGAGTCATAGATAGATTTCTTCAAGTAACCACTTGCAGAATTTAAATTTTAATTTCTAAATCAATAAATTATAATTACAAACATTTTTACATTTTTTAGCACTTTTCCAAAAAATTTTTGAAAAAAGTGCTAATTAGTTTCACTCTGTCAGTCCGTCCGTCCGTCCATCCGTCCGTTTGAAATTTTGCAAACGCAGAAAGGCAGCGGCTTGCTTTTCCTAGCACAGCATACTATAGTCAAATTTTGAAAAACAAAATGGCAGTTTAAATTTACCGTTATTTAAAATCCATTTTTTCCAAATTTTTGATGTCGCTTTTCTTCTAAATTTCAGCAGTTTTTAGACACTAATAAATACTTTATTTCGTTAGAAGAAAATTTTTTTCCATCTCAAAATCGAGCATTATGTTAACCCCACTTTATATTGATTTTTGCTTTATTTCAAAGACTGCATAAATCGTTCATCCTAAATATATGCAATCTTTGAAATAGTTTTGTATATGAATGAAAATAATTTTAATAGTGTGATAGGTATACATAGACTGTATTTAAAGGAGAATTTTCACTTGTTGAAGGGAAAAGTGCTACAATACAAACCATTGGTTTGATCCAATTTTATTCATTTTAAATAATAAACAAACAAAAGTAAATATTTTTATTCTTATTATTTTTTTTTACAAAACATTAAAATTCTTACTTGTTTTGTAATGTTACAAAACAATAAATTAAATTTATTGTTAACAATACATTTTCGTTATTTGTCGAAATTCGCTTAAAGAATCTAAATTTAATATATCTTGCATTTTTGCGTTTCTTTTCTTGTAACACAGATATTTTACTGTTTGATTTCTGGTTTTACCAAAAATAGATTTTAAGAAATATTTTATAATTTTCAATAAATTAAAGTTATGTTCTGAAAAAATATTAAAGACTCGTTTTGATTTTTTTTTGTTGTTTAGTGAAATTGACGGTAAAGTACAAAACACTGTGGCCCGGCGCCCAAATGAACGTGACTCTGTTTACCGATGCCAATTCCATAAATGCAGTAAGGCAGCTCCAAACCAGCTTGGATGTAACCTAAAACGAATAAACCTTTCTAAATTGACTCTCAGATAGATGTCTATTGCATGTGTTTCTGCTTGAAACACCGTGCAATACGGGTTCAGGGTCGCATATACGCGTATTTTTCGCCCCGCATCGTCCTAATCAGAAAGAAAT